TAACGGTTAGATACGCAAACACAAAACAAGGGTCTACCACAAGGTGGCGTCAGGGGCAAGTAAATGGTAGTTGGTGTGTAGTATGGTAAAGTGTATAGTGTAACCTGACGTCACCAATACTATCAGACAGCAGCACCACGTGCGCCGACCGCTCCATAGTCTTATGGAGCTCCATAGTCTTATGGAGTCTTGGTGAGTAGACACTCACCGCTATCGGAACTCAAGTCCAGCGTCACTTAGCACCAACTATAATCGCGCGCGATCTACAGCGGGATCACAAGGTTCAACGTTCTCTCGACAAAGTAAAAGTCTTATCACGCTATCAACCGACGCACTAATTCGTTGCAATTAACGGCATAAAAGTTCCTTTAATCACTCTAAACTCAAATTAGGCTTTGACACGTAACACGTTCAAAACAGACAACTAAATTCGAGGCGGTCTAGACTAGATCCAAATATTCAATAGTAAATTCAAAAAATTCAAAATGGCGCGCACAATTAACACAAGCTTTAGGCCTCGTTATCACGGATACGTACAAATATAAGATAACCCAAGGAGGCCGTCTTTTCGACGCGGTAATTGTATCAAAAACAAACGCGATCTCTGAACGATACGGCTCGCTCACCAAGAAGGTCGAGAACCGAACCACACAGATCAGCCCCCCCCCGGCCCCGCCGTCGAACCGGTTTCCCGCTCGAAACGCGGCGGTTGTACGTGGGAATCGTGCGGTCCATGGCCCTGTATGGGGCCCCTGTATGGGCGATGGATATGATGGCCAGAACTCTCGCCATTCAGCGCAAACCGCAGAGAGTGATGGCCGTCAGAGTCATCCGCGGGTATCGCACGATTTCCTACGAGGCGGCTTGCGTCCTGGCCGGATCCCCGTCCTGGGACCTAGAGGCGAAAGTACTCGCGTCATTATATCGATGGCGCGAGGAAGAGCGGGGACGGGACTCGAGGCCGGTGCAGCGACAGATAGCGCTGCGCCGAGAGGAGCTCCGTCAGGTCTTGGTGGCGGAATGGCGGCAAAGGCTTCTGCGCCCTACCGCCGGCCTCGCTATTGTCGAGGCGATCCGGCCAGTATTCGACGACTGGCTCGGGAGAAGGCACGGCTCCCTGTCGTTTAAGGTGACACAGGTGCTGTCGGGGCACGGCTGCTTTGGCAAGTACCTGTGCCACATAGACAGGGAGCCGGACGCTCGGTGCCACCACTGCGTCCATTGCAGGGAGGACACGGCGCAACACACGCTCGCCGAGTGTGTAGCTTGGGAGGAGCAGCGCCGCTGTCACTGTCGGCCTAGGTGCGGAGGATGATCGATAGCGCAGAATCGTGGGATGCAGTGGTGTCCTTCTGTGAGGACGTGATGTCGCAGAAGGAAACTGCGGAACGGGAGAGGGAGGTATCGACTCCCTTCCCTGGCCGCAGAAGGCGCACCGGGCGCAGGAGAAGGGCGGACAACGCCCTTTTCCAGCCCCCATGAATGAGTCCAGGGGCGAGGGACTAGGGGAAGCCCCCGCCCCCCTATTCGATGGACCCGAGGCGGAGGCACGCGTGGGTGTCGGCGCGCGCCTCTGAGGTGATACACGGGGTAGTTGAACACCTCACTACCCCGTGCAGGAGACGAGGCACGTACAGACTGGGCGAGCACTAGTGTGGGGCTGCGGAAGAATTTGGATTCCCGCGGCCCCTCGCGTGCACGTGTGAGGAGACACCGGGGTGGTTTTAGCCGGTAAGAGTCTGGCACACCCCTCCGCCTACCCCAGGCAGAGGCAGTCCATGAGGATTTCCCCACATAAAAAAAGTAGGCAGTAGCTAGTACTGGTAGTACGTGAAAAAACCACCACCAACCAACGGCCTTTCATGTTTTCCGAAGCACGGGGTGAGACCGCCAACTTCCTGACTCCGGGCAGGTACTGAGAATTTTTTGACGGAAAAACTCTCTTTTGTCTCGACCCGGGCTTCAAACCTAGGACCTCATGATCAGCTATCACACTACTACAGCCACTAGACCACGAGGTAGTCACGTCCACGTTGATATTCAGCAAACCAGCGATAAATTGTGGTTTTGGATGGGGCTTCATCACCAAATGTAGAAATCATCCGGTCAACACACTGTTTTTGTGTTAAACCACTTAGAAAGTCATAATAAATCATCGCTTTGAATTTTCTCGAGTCAATTCCATTTTCTCAACGACTAAACAAGATTGACAAAACCTTGTGACAAGACCGAGAATCTTTTTTTTTAAATAAATAAATGGTATTCGATTTTTAAAACCAAGGAGTTTTCAATTAAAAAGATTTTAATATGACAGGAACAGTGGAAATATTCCATTCCCGATACTTTTAGTGCAGCCTTATGTAACGAAAGATGTGCATGCGTGTCGCTCGCTCTTAAAGCCTTCACTATTCACTTACATTAGCCTGTTTTTAGTGTTAGTATTTTTTGAATATTCGGAAATTTTGCCTATATATTTATATTTTGTTACATTTTACAAATACTTTCGAGGATAGCTTTTATCCACTTACACAAAACACCATATTATTTTTCAGACGGTGTTGTCAGAACTAATTTATATATATATATATATATATATATATATATATATATATATATATATATATATATATATATATATATATATATACATTTGTCGGCCATGGAAGAACTGTTCGAATTTTTTTAATAATTTTTAAACTTTTTGTCTGTTTTGTACAGCCTAATAATATGCCTATTATATCTACTATTTTATTTTTCAGTACCTATTACGGTTTGTTAGAAATAAATACATAAAACTTCGTAAAAGTGTAAAAATGTTACAGTTTTATCGAGCAAATTGGACCCTTCATACTGTAAAAAAAATGTACCCACATGGACCTGGCAACTGTATTGAAAAGTTTGTACTTTTACTTCAACTTTTTGTGCTATATTTTTTTTTCTGGCAGAGGGAACATTTTGTGCAAACTACTCAATTATATTTTTTTTAAATGATTCGTCCGTTCCATTAATGTTAAGAAAAATAATTCGTTTACATGCTGTTTTGGCCAATTTCAGATCTAATATCCATAGAAAGTAGTACCTGCACGTGGTAAAGAACACTCTGACATTGAAGACGAAGTTTTGGAGCAGGTTCGAAGTGATCAGCAAACTTTTGTTCGTAACATTGCATTATTGACAGGAATACCTAAGTCAACTATACATAGTAGTGCTCTAACGCCATAGCTACCACCCCTACCACTATCAATAAGTGCAGGCTCTTTTGCCACGGGATTATACCCGACTTTAACCGGAAGTTTCTAAATGATATTATGGACGGATGAAAGCACTTTCAAGAAAGATGGATTTATGATCATGCACAACATACATAGTTTGAGTATGGTGAAACCGCACTTAATGCACGAAGAAAGGGCTCACTATCGATTCAAAGTAAATCTGTTGACCGGTATTATTAACGGGCGGTTAATCGGACCTTTAAAATTTCCAGAAGCACTAAATGGGCAGGTCTACCTGGAATTTTTATGAAGAGACCTGCCCATTTTATTAGAAAACTTACCACCAGCAACTTTACCAGATATGTGTTTACAGAATAAAGGTTGCCCCACCCATTACGATTTGCCGGTAAGGACTTTTTAAATGAACATTTCCCAGGAAAATGGATAGCTCGTATGGGGCCTATTTTATGGCCAGCGCGGTCACCGGACTTTAATCCATTGGATTTTTTTATTGGAGATATCTAAAAGAAAAGAAAATAATCCTGCATTTTCATTGCAGAGCTTCGACAAAAATAATCGAATTTTTTAACAAGCAAATAACAGAATATTGGAGCGGCCTATAACACGTTCTTTCACAAGAGGATGCCGCGCCTGTATTAGAGCAAGAGGTCGACAATTCGAAAATTTATTGTAAAAATTATCGATAAAAATCATAAAGAAATCATTCGTTTTATTATCACTTATTGATTTTTTTAGTAAGTTTACAAAACAAAGGGGGCAGATTAACAGGATTAGCTACCTGAATAGTTCTAGTCACTTCTATATCTTCTGTCTCGCTTGCACTTTCATACTCCTATGCGTCATAGCAACTAAAACTGGGAAGCATCGTATGTATCGTAATTTTGAATGTGTTTTGAAAATTGGATAAAAAATGAACTACTTTTTACTTTTCTATGGATATTAGGTTTAAAATCGGCCAAATTAGCTTGAAAACGAATTATTTTTCCTAACATTAATCGAACGGACGAATCATTTAAAAAAATCTGATTGAGAAATTCGCACAAAATCTTTCATCTGCCAGAAAAAAAATTATACCACGAAAAGTTGAAGTAAAAGTACCAAGTGTACTTTTACTTTTACTTTTACCATTTTAAATCTACATGAATTGCGCCAACTTTTAAATACCATTGCCAGGTCCATGTGGGTACATTTTTTTATAGTATGAAGGGTCCAACTTGCTTGATAAAACTTTAATGTTACATTTTTACACTTTTACGAAGTTTTATGTATTTATTTCTAACAAACCGTAATAGGTACTGAAAAATAAAATAGTAGGTATAGTAGACATATTATTAGGCTGTATAAAACAGGAAAAAAATTAAATCTGTCCTCATTTGCAGATGCAACATCAAAAATATTGACGCAAAGGCTTGATTTTCTGGAAAATTTATAAATCAGCCTTTACCTTTTGAACCAAAGCAATTTTAAGCAATTTGGGTATAGAACTTAATTTTTGTTTTCGAACAGTTCTTCCATGGTCTACAACCCCCTTTCGTTTGATCGTTACGTTCTGGGACACCCTGCAGTTAGTTTTTTACTTTTTAGCATTCATAAATAAACTTATATGTAAAACTCCGATATTAATATATTTATAATGATAGATATATCGAAAATCCGATTTTAGTTAGAACTGATCAGCTGGAATGATCAGTTAAACTGACCGTGTGTGGCGTCCATAACATATATGGATTGTTACTAGATTGATAAAAATGCCCACATTTTTCTTACCTTGGAGACACCAATTCGAAGGCTTTCGCTTGCATTTTCTTTATGTTAATGCCATTATCACAGAACAAACGCGCCATTGAAGATCCTTTACGAATAGTTTTAAGTTGGTCTGAAAACATTTTGTATATACTTTTTAAAATAATTTATCTTTCAAACAAGCATCCTATTGCACAACTCAAACGTAAAGCAGAGAGGTTAGGCTTTTTTTATGATTTATTTTTATGACTTAATGCATAACTTGTTTTTATCATAAAATATTTTATTAAAATAAAATATCATTATAAGTACGATCAACTATTGAACACAGTCCTTCTCTCCTATTTCTAAAAGGGTTAGGTCTGGAATCTGCCAAAGCTATGAAAGGGAGGAAAGACCAGGGTGTGTTGCCCGCAGCTGAGCGAGGCTGTGAGTAGGGAGTGTGGTGATCGGCGATCTCACGTGTCTCCCCATTTTCCACACATTCTCAATCTCCAGTCTCAAGCCTTTTGCCAAATTAATTTTTTCCAATTAGTTACTTGTATTTTCCATATACACGTCTATTATTAAGAAAGTTGGTCGAGCAAGTAGGTGAGTTGGTGTATTTGGGATGTGTATTCAGCAGGGATGGGAGATATGATAAGGATATAGAACGACGAGTGAACGTAGGAAATAAAGTAAATGGGGCTCTACACTCTATTGTGAAAAGTCAGAATGTGTCAAAAAGGCACGTATGGCAATTCACAATATTGTGTTAGTCCTTACTTTAACGTATGGTAGTGAAAGTCGGGTGTGGCAGAAGAAGCACGAGAGCAGAATAAATGCAGTAGAAACGTGGTCACTAAGGAGTATAGGGCTTAGTTAGCGCTGGATCTGAGTAACAGGGTGAGAAATTACGTGATAAAAGAAGAGTGTGGTTTACAAGATGATGCTGTGACCAGGATTAAGAAAGGAATGCTTCGGTGGTCATGGTTTGGTCATTTGGTCATGTAGAAAGAATGAATAAGAAACGAGTGACAAAGCAAATTTATGTTGCAGGAGTGAAGGCAAGAGTCGGAAAGGGATGCCTTGTCTGAGACAATCCTCGTACGTCCCTCTCGCACGCGTCATTCCAACATATCTTTTGCTTGTTTTGTATATATAAAGTACCTAGCTTCGCTGAGCCTTCCTTTAATAGAACTACGCAGATTGAGGCTACAACATGAAGTAATCCTACTGGTGGTTATTTCCTCCCGCACCGTTTAGCTACCTCTACTAGAAACTCTCATAGCTTTGGTAGAAACAAAACTCACAATACATCTTTCTTTAATAAATCTTTCACTGTCCAGTCTATTAAGCTCTGGAATGCCCTACCTTTGCATGTACGCGAAGCACAATCTATTGTAGTCTTTAAGCGACTTCTCAAAGATCATTACATATGTCAATCGTTCGAACATCATTAGGATAAATTATGTGATTATGTAGTTTTTGTATTTATTTGTTTATGTTATTGTTTGAGGAATATATTTGAGGATATATATATATATATATATATATATATATATATATATATATATATATATATATATATATATATACGCGTGTGTGTGTGTGTGTATGTATGTTTATGTATATACGTATGTATATGTGTATCTTTTTTAATGTAATAGTTATTTATATATTATTTTATTGCTATATGTTGATATTATATTAGGTATGTTTATATTGCACCACCTACCTAGTATTCACTGTTTTATACCTTTACACCTTTGGTTGCCTGGAAGATATCGCTATGTAGCGATAAGGCCGCCAAATTGTACATGTAAAATACAATGTGGTGCATTCTTATGGACCTATTAGTTTACCGCATTACTCCCGTGTGTATAAGCGGATTAAACATCTTTAAATATTTTTTTCTTAGATCTTTAAGTTTGCTTACAATGTATACCTTCTCGATGGTGAAGAAAACTTGCAGCTATCATTTACTATGACCACTTAGTGAGGAGCAGAGATAGTGTTATCACCAGTGCCCCTGCCATTTAAAATAGCTTACCAAGGGTAAAAGCGATTTCCTTGTCCTCTCCATTTTCATAAAAGTATCGGTCACCAACGCGTGTGATGTAAAACTGTCTAAGTAAGATGCAAAGAAAAGTGGGCCCCACTAAAGTCCCAGGCACATGTTTCTCCAATGATCCTCCTACAGTAAGTTCAATGTCTTCTACTCTTTTATATATTGATTTAAGTGCTTTTATGTTCTGTGGATTTATCAACAAGAATACATTAACGTAGAGTTTATGGTTGTAAAAAAGACTTTATTTTTGATAATCATTATTCTACTAATGCAAAACAGAGTTACCTTTATTGACATGTAGTCACATAGATCGTTAAAGTCCTTTGGGATAGAGAGACCACAATAAGATCGAAGCTCAATGTAGTTGGCTATACCGTGATCGCGAGCACGTTGAATATCAGTAGCTCGCAAATCATCACCGAGAGTTTTATTTCCCCTGAAGGGTTAAGTAAAATGTAGTTAGTTTAAATTACTACAAGTTGAATATTCTATTAAAATATTACTTTAACAAGAGCGTTAAGATAATTAAGTGGGTAACGAGAATGTATAGTCTTTGCGTTTATAGCAAGGTGCGGGTGACAAATTAACAGGTCTCTAAAACATATTTTAACTATGAGAAACACTGAATTTGTTTTGATTTTTTTTTAATTCTATTATGAATACTAAATCAATATTAACTTCACTAAAATATAAGTCACAAGACACAAGATCACTAAATATAAGTAAGATAATTCCATTTTATATGTGTGGTGCAATACCGTCATATTCATGTATACTAAATTTAAGTAACACGATTCATAATAATATAATAAACAAATAAATAGAGAAAGTGGTAACCCCCGCCCCTCTCTTAACATTTTGTTGCCTTGCCTTTACAGTTAAACTCAACAAATAGAAAAATTTACTTAACAAACCACAATAATCGAAAGTACAAACAATATAAACTGGAAATTGCAAAACGGCCAATAGGTACTTCATACAATGTATTAGCATAAATTAAACACGTTTGTGTTGTCAATTATTCCGATTTGCGCGGTACGTCCTGATTTTCAGGGGTTTGGTAACACGTCCCGAACAATCTTCAATCAGAAAGCCAATGTCCCGATTTTTTACTCATCTTAATCCTTTGTACTTCGATCAATAATTATGACAGCAAAATGTATCATATATATCAATACATCTGTAAGGTGTTACTGTGGCTGTTTCTACATTTAAATATGTTAGCTTCGACATTTCATATTTTCTCACCAAACTCGAACTAAATAGTATAAAATTTTAAGCGTATTGTGTTGGCAAGGTACAGATTCAGATATTATTATTGGTGTTATCTTTCACCGAGTGATGCCGCCCGCGCAGTCATGTTACATGGCGAGGTTATCGATTCGACCATTATTTATTATTGAATTCTTTTAGTAGTATTTAATACAATATCTAACTTACATGCTGCACTTTAGTTAAGTACATTTTGTAAAATAAAAGGTCTTGTGATTTCTTGTACTGGTCAATTTCTTCAAGCGGTTGTAGGCAAAGTTGTTTTCAATTTTTCAATTCAATTCAAATTAAACTGACATTACGCGTGCGATGCAAGAACTTTATCTAGGTGTTTGAGGTTGTAATTTGATTATCAATGAATGTATGCTTTTTATTGTAAGAAGCGGTTTTTTAAAGGGTTTTTGAAGTGCATCCGTTCTGAGTTGTTCGTAAGATTTTTTACTTTTTTCAGAATAACATTAAAATGAGTCACCCAGAAAATTCAGGGTCTGCATCGATAACTAATCTTTCAACAAGTTCAGATTTGCTGAAAAAGAAAAATGCACATAGACGACTATGCAGTTTTTCCGATGTTTGGACGAAAATTATTCGTTCATTAGCTCAGCCTCAAAAAATGATGATAAAACACATTGCGCATTTTTAAATAAATATAAGAAATTATCACATTGCGCATTGTGTCTAAAAGATTTTAATATAACTTATGGCGGTCAAAATGGCTACAAAAAACCTGTTTTTATTTTATTACATTTGTAAACGAAATTCTAGAATATTTTTACTCGTCATTTCGACCTACTGGACCTGGCAACACTTATACACATTTATAACGAAAAGCGCCAGCACTCTTACCTTGAAAAGCTGCGCCTTACTAAAATCACAGATGCTGGCAGTTATTTTATTTTTTAATATTAAGAAAAAATGTTGTAATGAATATAAAATAAAAGATATTTTTTATTTTAAAATTAACACAAAGTGTAATATGTAACTATAATCACAAATTGTATTAAGCTGTATATATATATATATATATATATATATATATATATATATATATACAATATGTAACATAATTAACGCACACCCTCAGACACCCCAATTAGTATATTATGTTATAATCATAATACATACACTGAATTTTTAGTTAAACATTTTTATGCACTGATTATTTATCAAATTACTTATCCTAATTAGAGATGGGCCGAATATTCGTTTTATATTCGGTATTCGGCATATTCGGCAGCTTTACCGAATATTCGGCTAAATCACCGAACATTCGTTTTCATAGTGTCCAATGTATTGAAATGTACGAATTGAGTAATGCGATGTCCTTTAGTGTTGAAAGTATATTTTATTTATGGGTTAAATCTACTTACCCTAGAGTGCCTCAAATGCATAAATCTATACATTTATATTTTTGAGGCACTATGGATTTATTTCCGATTATGGCAAATAGAAACTTGACAAAATGTTTTTGGAATCACACAAAGAAACATTACATAACGAGTACATTAGTACATTTCATTTTACTTTGGTCGTCAGTTTCTCTAAAATAAGTCCAAATAAATGGCCTTTTATATTATCAATTTTAAGTAATTCATCAATTTTAAATACAAGAATAGTCAAAACATAAGCATGTGCCGGTAATTTGCTCAGTACTAGATGATGCAATAACTGTCAGGTGTGGCGGGGAGCGAGAGCCAGGGTCCGACGCTAATTACGCGCGCTTTACGGTAACAAGTTTGGACATAAATTGGGTAGAAACCGAGGTGATCCTGCCGAATAACGTTCGGCCGACTATTCGGTTCGGTAAAAATATTACCGAACATTCGGCCGAATATCCGTATTCGGTGAAATCCATATTCGGCCCATCCCTAATCCTAATTCCGGAAGAATGTTGTGGTCACAGTACAAATTCACGAACGCAAAGACTTTAACGTGCTTGAAATAAAGTTCTTTTTTTATTTATTTTTATTGAATGACAGAATTAGTAATAATACAAATAAAACTGTACTCTTAAAAGTCTTATTGCCTTAAGTTATGGTCCATTTCAGTTTGTTTTGACTGTACAGATTTAGTATGACTGTAATTTACGTAGTTTTAATTATTTTTGGAATAAAAAATTACCTATATTAAAAATGATAGTAATCGATTCAGTAAACGATTCTGAACAAACTACTTTCTTATAGTGACTGATTACCCTGTATGTTAGGAGGCAGTTTCACTCCCATTCAGTTTATCTAACTTTCCATATAAAATACAAACTTTAAAACATAGTACAAAAAATGTGTATGTGTGTGTTTAATTTAGTGACATTTTAAGTTATTTAATTTTAAATTTTTATTAATACGTGGTGCGTTCAATGTATTTTCGATATTACGGGATTTGCTAAAATAGTGGGTAGTTAAAAATAAATCATTGAACCGCAAAGAAGTGGTCAAGTGAATTCAAAAGAGGCAGGGAAAGCATCAATGATAACCTCCGCCCTGGTGGGCTACTCACAGCGGCTACAGAGGAAAATGTGAAAATTATCAAAATACTTGTATTACAAGGTGCACGAGTAAAAATAAAATATCAACAGAAATAACTAACCTATCTGTTGGTACCATACACACCAAATTGCATAATTATCTCAACCTCTCAAAAGTCAGTTCAAGATGGGTGCCACGTATACTCACTGCGCTTGTAAGCAGTAGCAGGTTGACTGTTGTTATTTAGAGCTGTGTGGTGACGATCAAACAAGTGTTTTCGAAGAAATGGTTAGAGAAGATGTAACGTGGGTGCATTAATATGACTACGAGAATAAACAAGAGTCTATGTAATGTCATAAAAAGGAGACAGGTTCCCCGAAAAATTCAAAGTTACTCCATCGGCCGATAAAATCATGGTCAGTGTTTTGGGATTCCAAAGGAATACTATTTATCGAGTACACAAAAACGGTGAAACCGTGAATGCAGAAAAGTACTCAGCCACTTTACGACGTTTTAAAGAAGCAATAAAAGAAAAAAAGAAGAGGAAAGATGACCATGGGAGTACTGCTTTTTATGACAACGCACCGGTTTACACGGCGTGGCTTTCTAAGTCTGCAGAGACTGCGGGTTTGAGAAAATTCACCACTCACCATACAGCCCAGATCTAACCCCTAATGCCTACTTAATATCCCCAAACTTAAAAAAGACCTTCAGGGAAAGCTATTTGCTGACAATAATGAGCTCAAGACCACTGTAAATTTTTAGGCCAAGACGGAGATTAGTTTTACAAAGAAATAGAAAAACTTTTTTACGAGCAAGTTTATGACGTATAGATGTCATGGGAGACTATATTGACAAATAAAAATGATTAATAATTTTATCTTTGTTCTAACACATTCCCCATAACCCCATAACCCGAGAATACATTGAACGCCCCCTCGTAACATTATATAAATGAGGTGCTTGATAGTCAAATTGCCTTTTCGCAAAAGCGAAATTTTTGTGTTCTTTTGTTTTTAGCTACATACTGGTAAAAAATTATTATGATATCATTTTATGCATTTGTATAGAGAGATACTATTGTTACGAGTTTAGGGTTCGTGACAATAAAAACTGCCGATTGAATTACCAAAATTCACACTTTTATTACCGAACACCAATTAAACCTTAAAAGACACTAATAATTAATCACACTGATTCACTTTTTTCGCTCCGAAGCTTCGCTTGTCTCGCCAAATTCAATATTGCTCCGATCGCGGCTATCAACGGCTTTATATAGGGCTCTTCCATGAAAACGTCCGGAATATTCGGATACGGGCGTCGACCGACCAGACGCAGAAAGTTCGAGTGTGGGGCTTCTAGAAAGCTTAATTCTTCTGTTCGATACTAGATGGCGTTGTTGGTCGAAAGTCAAGATTGACATTTACTAGGAAGCTCTCCTCACTCTGGTCCCAGACACTAGATGGCGCTAGTGACAGATACCTGACGTCAACTTAGGCACGCAACACTGCTCCCTCCTAAGACATGCTCGTCCCGAGCATTATCGCCCCCATAATAACGCGCCCGATCCACATGGACGATCTTAGGAGTACCTCTTGCACCTATTCGAAACGGCTCCGCAACGTCAAGGGCTGTCCTCTCCCATGGTGCACCAACATTGTACAATTTCGATGCTCCTCTACTACAAATCTGAGGTCTC